CTTTAAAATTAATGACATTTACATTAAAATCAGTAATGTTAAAAATCTGTCTAATAGGCTGTTAAACTACAATCAACCACGAAATGCCTAGCTTCACCATCAACCTGACAACTATTACATAATTTATTTTCCTGCAGATTAAATCGGTTGAAATAGAACAGAAACCTACCATGTCCAGTTAAAACCTGATTAACATCAATATTGTTCATACGTTTCATTTTATTTGTGATTTTAATTAGTTCCATAAGTCCTTTGTCTTTAGGTGAAGAGAGCCACTGTATTTTCCATTTGTTAACGTAAAATTTTTTCATTCTTCGAATAGCAATTCTCTTTGAACCTGTTACTTCAATATCCATTGCACTGACATTTGAGACCGCCTGCTTGGCCAGGCTGTCGGCCCTCAGCCAATAAATCCTACCCCATATAGGCTTTATTGGCCAATGTTAGAGGCTGCATGTCTGTAGACCTCAAGTAACCCTGTGCTAGCAGCAATTATTTCTTCTGTGACAGATGACTCTGATCATCTTCACTTTGAAGCATCTTTTAGACTGAAATTCCTACCTTAGAACTACTGATACTAAAATGTGTGGCATGATGAGTGCAATCATCTCTGAGTGCAGGAGCCATTTCCCTGTCATGCTGAACAATACTTAACCACATGTGGAGTTGCAACACAGAAGTTCCTAATATTTTACTTTTAATCAGGTTAGAACATATTCCATTTCCATAAACTCTTCAGCCTGCATCCATATTGCAAAACATAACTAGTGATCTGTATGTGTAATTGATATTCTACTAAATTTGAAATTTATGAATCAATATATAAGACTATTACCCTTTTTATTGGGCATGTTAGAAAATTTTCATGGATATGATATGATATAGAGTTTTGAGTAATTTTTTTATTATTAACATACCGTGAATGCTGTTTGCTTATAATTGCTTACTTGCATTTCTTTTTCTTGAAATTTTATCTAATTTGTTTTCCTAAATGATTCAAACACTTTTAATTTTAAAAAAATTTGCTGAGAAATCTGTCGAGTGACCATTGCCTTGCTACAACTTTAACAAATTTCTTTCATGGAGAATGTTCTGCACAGTATTTGGTTTCACTATTGAAATTTATTTGTTTTGGATATTTCTTTCTTTATGGGTTATTTGAATGCTTGGATTTAGGTTCATCATTTACAGTAATATCTTTGTTTTTTTATATGATATATAGTTAATCTAGCATTTTATGTTTATACACATCTATGAAACTGACAATGTCCTTCCAACTTTCACATCATATTATTTTTGAGTGATATTCACATTTTCTACAAGAGTGTTATATGTATATGTATAAATTCTTTTACTGATATTTATTATTTGAATGTATGATTAATTATCATATCATGTTCTGTGCATTTATATAATTCTCTAAGAGTCTTAGTTATGCTCTTTTGTTCACCCGTCATGTTTAGAATAATTTTCTTATAAGTTAGCAAAATCATTTCATGTATATATTTTGTTTCTAAATTAGCATTGATTCAAAATTGTTGATTGAATTTATATTCAAAATTGATATAAATAGCAAATGATCATGTAATTGAAAACTTGAGAAGTTTTCCAATAGTAAATACATCATTTGTTCAACAGAATTGAGTCATTTGCACTGAGAATGTTGAAAAGTTGCTTATATGCTCAAAATGATGAAAGATGATGAAGTTGCAATGAATTACTTTTTATGCCATTTCAGATCACATGACAGATTAATGTCCAGATATTGGGTTCAGATTGCATCGGTAATTGCTCATCAGAACTGCAGGGAGTTTAGTTAGAACAATTATTGCTCTGTTATTTTTAGAATGAAAACAGAAGTTAAAGGGCTATTATTATTTTATTATTTGAAAGATGGATATTTTATATATATATACACACACACACAGTGAGAAATTTCAAATATATACATATGTATATAGTGATATATAGTGAAAAATGTGTAAATGGTGCTTTATTCTGGCTGAATTTGAAAGTGACTCCCAGAATCATTAATGCATAAAATTTTTGACCTAAGTATCTATTTTTTAAAAAACAATCTGTTGGTATTTAAGATAAAAGAAAGCAAATGGTACTAATTTCAGCATGTTGAATACGAATTTAAGTAAAAATTCTTTGTTGGTTGAGCATTAAAAATCAGTTAACATTTGCTAAATTAGACACTGATGCTGTGACCCCATAATGTGAATGGTGTATCCTTCTTATGAATGTTAGTTTTGTCATTATTTCTCTTGTCAAAAATGTAAATATTCCACATATTCTGATTTCTTAATAATTGTTTTAATGTGTTGTGAAATAGTTTGTAAATTGTGTCATGTGTTAATAAAGTGCAGAAATATTTCAATAGCATTTGGCTACTCAGCAACTAAATCTGATATTAAAATTAAATGAATTTCAAATTAACTTTATAATCACAACTTGAAAACTATAAATTTGTATAATTTTCAAGTTAACTTGTTTGGTGATTGGCAATATAAATCTGTATGGCAATTTAATGGAACATTGATCTGTTTGGTGCTAACAAAACCTATTTTGTAACTTGACAGTTTAATTTGAGGCCAAAGCTAAGTTCTCAAAGGAATTTAATTTGTCCCTTTAGTTAAAATTTTGGAACTCTAAAGTAGGCTTGAGAAGTGTAATTAATCTTTCAGTTTCATTATCATTTTCATCATAAACACTACAAATTCTGTAAATATGGAATAGAATTCAGATAATTTGCAAACCTCATGATCAAGATTTGTGTGAATTTGGCAGATTATTGGCCATGTCTTTTTTACTTTTGGTTAAATTTGTGTCTTTCTTATTCTATATTACATCTAGGTTATTTGTATTTCAATAAATGACTGAAGCAAACTCCTACCTTAAGAATTATTTAATCAAGATTGTATACAAAGCAACTTAATTTTGTAAATATAATTACATACATAAAACAATGTCAGTGCAAAGAGAAAACATAGTTAAGAGGTTAAATAGGCAATTCTTTGGGAAAGTGAAGAACTATTTTTGTTAAAAAAAAAACCATCGAAGTATTTAATGTATAAAAAAATTATGTGTTTACCAATCAGATTATTTTTAAAGTAATTTTTATAGTCTTAAATAAGAGAAAAAATATATAAATAAACTGTTTACAAAAACCCAGCAAGAAGATTTTTCTGTAAATTGAATTTTAATGCTAATTCTGCCCTTACACTTTGTGCGAGCACAAGAATTGAAATTTTGTATTTATTATGGGAAAATTACTGTGTTCTTTAGCCTGTTTTGTTTACTGTGTTTTATTTTCTAATGCTAGAAAAACCTTTGGAACTTTTTCTTTTCAAAAGTTTATTCCTATTCACTTCACTGTAAATCTAAACCTACATCTTTATTGCACTGATATCAACCGGCTGTGAAGGATATATATAAGTAAGAATGAACTCCTGAAAAGTTGTGTTCAAGTAAAATTTTGCTAAATGGGAACCATTTAAATTCAAAATTACTGTTAATACAGAGCACACTATGTATCAAAAACGGATTTGTATAACGCAAAACATTTTCAGAAATTCATGATCCGTGATTATTATAAAGAGAAAGTACTGATTTGAGTATGAAAATGCTAAACAACTTCAATAATAAAATTTATTCATCTCTTCAATCAATGTAGTGCAATTTTATTTAAATGTTTACTTCCTTATATATAAGGAAACAATGCTGTTGAATCTGCCATTCTAATTTTATCGAAAATCAAAATTTTGTTCTATACCTTCTAAAACAGGATGCAGATTGTAGGCATTCTTGAATTAATTGGGGGCAAATTACAGTCAAAAGTCATTAATTCGGACACCCATAATCCGGAATGATCTATAATCCGGACCTCAAAGCTACAAACTTTCTGCGCATGCATCGCGTTGAGGCATGCGCATAGGTGTTTACGCGTGCATGTAAGATCTTTACGGATGCGAATATGCGTGTGCGCACGCGCATAATACGTTTACGCATGCGCGTTGAATGTATAACGGACGGTATAAGCTAAGCTAAAACTAATTCAGTTAATGTTGCAGATTGCGTAGTGCCTTAATCTTCGAATTGGATCTGGCTTATTATTTTTTGCAGACTGTTAGAGCAATTTTATAAAAGTAAGCTTGAACTTTCAATTGTGTCAAATAGAATTTCCGATATATATTTACTAATATGTAAAGGATCTACAAAGCGAAAGTATGTTTCGAAATCCGAAATCTGTTTATCAATTTCACGCTGCTCTGCGGCGGCGGGGGGAAAACGCCGCGGCGCGCAATGAATTGGAAGTTGATCTGTCAGCACTATCCTTATCTTCAGGGCAGATGTTTTTATTTTATTTGGCTCATAATTCCTTACTAAATGTAGTATTTCATCTCGATGTACTTTGTCTATGATTTAAATCAAGTTTCTCGTCATTATAATTCGCTTACGATAGTGAAGAAAGTGACACAGTGGTTACTGAAAACGAAAACATTTCGATTGACAAATTAGTCGGTATTCTCAATACAGCAATTATAGGACTTGAACAGCGGAACAGCAGAACTAAACAACAAATTATGTCTGTTTAATAGAATTAAAGAGAAAGTATTATCACATGAAACGAAGCAACTTAAGCTACTTACATTGAAAGAAATGTTTAATAAAGTAAACAAATAAATATTAAGCTTTTTTTTTTGAAAATTTTGATACCCTTTAGATCATAATTGTTCTTTATTTCATAAATTACGGTTTCATATTTTTAATTTTGTAATTTCTGCATGCCATCTTACCAGATTTAAAATGATGATCTATAATCCGGAATAATCGATAATCCGGAATCGCCGAAGTCCCGACGAGTCCGGATTAACGACTTTTGACTGTATTGGAATTCTAATGTATTAAGGGTACAGGAAATAATTCAATTTTATTATTATTATTGTTGTTAAATCAAGTTCCTTATTCATTAGTATGTACTCTAATATTTACAGGTACTAGAGTTCCTACATGTAAATTCCAGTAATTTGCCACCAGAAGCTTCTGAATTAAGAGCAATCCTTTGTGATCCCTATGTGAGGGTATGTAGTAAGAGTTTGATGAACTATATTTTGAAATATTGTTATGCTACCAAAAAAAGTGTTAAATAGATTAAAGTGGGAAATTTTGAGGAAAAATATTATTTATTTTGGGGAAGCACATTATATTGGATGCATTCCATTTTCCAGGTCTTTATTTTAATTTAAAAAATAAACATGTTTAATTTTGTTATATATTTTGTTTACATTTTTATGCTACAAATTGAGACACTAATTTCCAACTAGAAAGGCTCTGCTTCTTAGATGCCTGTTGAGTGGGGACATAAATAAAGATGGTTTGGGATGATTTTGCAGTGTGTGAAAGGATATTATAAGCATTTGGTAAATATAAAATTAGAACCAAAAGGAAGAAACCGTAGATTAGTATAAATTTAGTGTATTTACTCAAACATATATTCTCCTTTTTCCGTATATTTTTTGTGCCCTTTGTAATGAGTCAGGTTTTTTGCCAACGGTCAGTCACTTTACATTGGCTCTTTCCCAGTGACGTTATTTCCCCTCTTTCTACGTCATCCTGCTAGTTGCAAAGCTATAAGCATGCTCAGGGTTTACCCACCCTTTTCGAATTTCATCGTTAACCAAAGATGACGACATTGATCCAGGTCTGTTTTTAATAATAATTTTTTTCTCTAAAAATTTTTTTCTAGGTCTTGGCAAGATCCTTGGTTCAATTCGTCTATTTTATTATCATTTCCGTTTTGAATTTAAAATAATTTTCGGTACTTTTACAAAGTAGTAACTCTTTAAGCTTGCAGGTCCACCCATAAGATCTTGTATATTTTGACTAATAGCATATCGCTATTTATTTTTTTCTGTACTACATCGGCATTTTCATTCAATTATTTATTTATTATCTTTATTACACTTTAATGTATTAATTCAGGCGGACGCGTCGAGAAATTGGAACAGAGAATTGAGACTAAAGGTTTTGATGTAGTTTATTTAATTAATTGAAAAATGTGTCACGTACAGTTTCAATTGTCTGTTTCGGCGAAATGTGTGATGGAGTTAGCTTGGTTCGAAGTTCATTAAAAAATATTTTTCCTGACGTGCCATAGTGAACTTCGAAATGGGCTAATCGACCATTTACCGCTTCTTAATTTTATTTTAACTCGATTAATTAGTTAATACTTTTACTATGTTTTATTTCCTAAACAATATTGATTAATTGATTATATTATCTCCTAAGTTTAATTAAAGTAGAATTATTTTAAAAGAGTGAATCCGTACTGGTAAGTTAGATTTTGAAAGATGTTTTGAAGTAACTTGAAAGTAAAATGTTAATAATGTTTTAACGGGGACAGGAATTAAATAATCATGAAGAACAAAATTTCAAATGTAAAAGGAAAAATTAAAACATGTAATCATTGTCATTGATCGGAAATTAGTTGACTTTTCAAGGGGAACAAACCAACTCCTGTTCAATGAACAATAATTAATAAAAATTCGTAAATACAAAGGTGTTTCGTCTTTACTCGAGTTATAAGGCAAAGCCAAACCGGCAATTCTAGTCAGGCCAAATATTTCCGCGAATAGAAGGGATTACAAACCAATGCTGATACTCAAAGAACTTATTCTTATGAAGCATTTTAGCCAATTCAATTTGGAGTGAAAAGGAATTTCTGTAGAGAAATTCGAAAAAACTCGAGTAACCGTCCCCAACACCCTCATATTTATGCATTTGAGTTTTATATTATTTGTAAAAATTAAAGATTGGAAATTGTCATTATGAAATAGAATTCAAAGTAAAGTTGAAATAAACATAGAAGATTACAAAGTAAGATAAATAATGCAAAACTTTGTAAAAAACAAATCAAAAAATAATATAAAAATAATATAAAAATATTAGTAAGAACAGTGAATGTACATGAAGATATAAAGGCCAGAAAAGGTATTAAGTAACTTACATTCTTTCTAGTGGGGAGTTGGCAAAATGTTCTCTTCATCTCTGACTCATAAGTGTAGGGTGTCCGAAAATTCTTAGTGGCAGTGGGGTCTTTGAATAATATCAGTCGGTAAGACTTGGGTGAAGTAATTTATGGTAGTGGGTGGGACTCTGAATTCTTGAGGGATGTATTATGTGGAGTTCTTATTTGAGTGAAACTGTCTGTTAAGATTTTTTTGAAAATACTAGTGAATGGAAATTAATTAATTTCTGGCTAATTGTCGTGTCGCAATGATTCAGAATTTAAGAAAGGAAAAAAGGAATTTTCATTGTCCAAGAGCTATTAGACAGACTAAAGTCATGAAATAGGCCCATTTTTTTAGTAACAGCATAAATCTGAAGACAATTAGCTTTTTACAATATATACAACTGAGTAATTACACTATATACAAATCCTTCAACTGATAGTCATCCAACTTTTAATTAGTTTAGCATATAGCTTACTATTATTGTTGATTTTTACTTGTAAATAATCAAATGTTGTATTTTTCTCTTTTAACACATTTCATTGCAACTAATTTTGCTTATGTTAAAGTTTTTACATAACCACAGTATTTAAGCAGCTTTTTAGCGTGTGTACTAGAATTTTTCTTTTAATTTCCTTAATTTTGCAGCACAATGCACAACATTTTTGACCACATAGGTCTTTAATCGTTTCTTCTTTCTACTTTACTTGAAATGAATTCATATATATATATGCGCTCTAAAATTTCATAGGATCTTATAATTGAATAGTTTGATAAATGAAATTGCAGAATAAGAGGAAGAAGTCTAATTATTTTACTGTACAGAATAACATTGCTAAAATTCTTCTATATCACAATATAATGCTGCATTTAATTAAGCAGCTTACTTTGCATATTAATGAGAATCACTGCCATTACCATCACATATTCTCTTAGAATTTGATTTAAAATTTATCCTAAAATTTAAGGAATATCTTGTACATTCGCTAGTTTATATTTGAGAGCGGTTTTATTTGTGAGTAAATAAGATAATATAAAAACTCTTAGTTTCAAGAGGGATGTAGTTGACTTCCTCTTCAAAAAGAAATATATCTGGCCTGAGGAGAAAAGAGCCAAAGGTCAGGGGCCCAAGATGGAGTAATCATACCATCTGCCGAGTAATATAAAAGTCAGGAGCAAAAGTGAAAGCTAAGACATTAAAATATTGAAAGATTTGAGAAAAACTAGATTGGAGTGAGTGTCTGTAAATAAGTAGATTTTATAGAGTTTGGAAGACTTTAAGAAAATATAATTAACCAAGTGAAATAATCTAGATAACTTAAGCAATAGAAAAGCTGATCAGTTGTGATTAGTTATTGAAAATTTATTTATTTCTCATTTCTGACATGAGAGTCATATTCAGTAATACACAACTTAATGCTATCCTTGTTATTCAAACATTAAATAGCCAATAATTCACACACAAAGGGCATCTAATCATGCTTTCATTTCTCATATAAAGCAATGAAATATCATGCCTTTTGAAGAAAAATTTGAGTTCTTTATTATATACTGTAGATGATTTAAGCATTTAATTTATAATAAAATTTTTATTTTTGGTATATGCTTTGATTTTGTTTGATTATTATTGTTTCTTTTGTTTAACAGACATCTCTCTTTTACTCAGCATATGCTTATATATACTTGAGGGCTTGTGTTTACCCATGTCTGATTGCTTGCTTTTACATATGTGCATACAGATTCATTAGTTTATTTGATTATGGCAATGCACATGAGGTCTATCTGCCTAGAGGGGATGCCTTCATGGAGAACTTCAAAGGGAAACTGGTTGATATTATGTTAATGCAGCCAACCCTTTTGCTTGGAATCAAAGGTCAAGCTATCAGTGTTCAACAGCTTTACTCCTTGGCTGCTGGTGGGCTATATGCACACAAAATATTTCAAACAGTTAACATGGTTTAATCATGTGCTAGGATTTATTCATCCGTGCATTAGTTAACTTGAACAGTGTTAATGAAATTTTGCATTAATTGTTTCATACTTTTGTATCTTTAATATATTTTGAGACAAATGTTATTTGCTTTTTGAAACTTTTACTCAGAATTCCTAAGTTTCTCTCTTTAAGATGAATTAACAGTCATGGAATTTCTTAAAGGTGTGAACAAATCACTGGCAAGTGTGAGCTGGCCTTCCATTAGCCATGTGGATAAGACTGTGGACTACTGGTAGTCCACTCTTAGTTTCATCCCCAAAAGATGGGTAGTTTGCATGGTTTTATCAATGTGAAATGTAAACATGGGACGTTTCTTCATAGAAAGTTTCCCTTGAAGGCATAGACCCCCTTAGTTAGAGATTCCATATGTATTTATCCTTATCTGATTAAATTAACAAGTGTAATGATTGTTCCATGAGCCTAGACTTAAAAAATTTGGGAACCCTAATCCATGACTGACATAAGTCTTTTTCTTTCTACATTTAACTATACATTAAAAAAACTATTACACCAGCAATATATATTTATGTGTACAAGGCACTTTCTGCTTGTTTTATTTAGCTTTGCAATTCAAAGTGTTCAAAGTTCTACAAAAAGCCGTTCACTTTGCCTCGATCTTGAGTGTGATCAAGCTTTAAAATTTCAAGCTATTTGGTTGACAAGTATAAATATAAATATATCATCAGCTTGAAAAAATTTTATAATGAAATATTGTTACTGAATCTAGAACTAGAATATATGTTTACAATCAAGTTTGAATCAAAACTGTCTGATTACAGTTATATCATGACTATCCAGAAAGCTCGTGAAAGACTGAATGCCAGATATTAGTAAAGTCTAAAGTAAATGAATGGAAGAAATTTCTTTTCTTACCTTATTTATTATAAATTTTAATATCAAAAATGTATATGTAAAATTATTTTAAGATTTCAAAAATAAATGCATTTGAGACATGAAAACCTAAATGTTTTGTAGACCTTAAACATAAAAAAATAAACATCTAATCTAATTATGAAGCACCATTGAGCATTAAATTTGGCTGTTATGTTTCCAAAGTTGTGCCAGTCATTCTGGCAAA